TACAGTGGGGGATATTGGGTTGGAGAGGCGAGTGGTCGTCCCAGGGCCTCGCCATCGCGGGGAGAAACACTGGGTGGCTAGAGCTCTTGGCCCTGAAGTGAGCCCCTCGCCCCTTCATTCTTCCCCTACCCCACCCCTGTCTTGCTGGACAGAGAAATTCCACAGTGGGTGGGGGGTGGTTAAAGGGAGCGATCTCCGGGGTCGGGCAGATGACCCCCTCCTGGCGACCCGCTTCACTACGGGAGATCTGCGCGCTCCGGCGCTTCCCGCGTGGCAGGCTCGCCTTTTGAAAGGTTCTGTAAGTTCCCCCATTCACTTCCCCTTCCTAGTGCAGACCGTTCCCAAGCCGTAACCTTCCATCGAAGCCGTCGGGGTCTTTTCCCCTTTTTTCAGTCCCCAGCACGTGGGGTGGGGCGTGAGCGGGTGGGGGGGAGGGGAGGTTGGGAGTTGGCAGGAGCTTCTGCAGGAACTCTGAACTGGAAATTGAGTTTTCCCTTTTGCTCGCCACTTCGACCCTGGGCACATGTGTTACAGCCAGAACCTTGCTGGATCAAAAAACACGCCTCCCAGCACGCGGGAGAAGGCACGTCGCCTCCTGGGCATCTGTGCGCGTTTCCCTTGAGGGTACCTCAGCTGCAGAGAAACAGCGCCCGCGTCTTTGCGATGGCACGGGGTGGGGGTTGGGGGGTGGTGTGGATCTTGGTTCGTCCCTATCCTTTTTTCACTTCTGAAAGAAAGTGGGGGGGGCGGGAATCCTGTCCCTAGTAGGATCAGTGATAAGCCTTTGCAAACGTAACTTTTATTGGGCTTTTTCTTCCCTCTCTTCTGGCGGACTCCCTAACCCCCACTCCTCGTGTTTCCGAGTTTCGGTTGGAAAGTATACAAAACCCTGTAGGTATAGGGTGCAGCCGGGTGTTGGGTGTTTATAGGCACATCTTTTCAGGAACCTGCCACGCTAAGCACACACACTCCCAACCTCACCTGGCGGATGCCGGGCAGCCAGGTGATCCGGTGTTGGCTCCAAGCACAGGAAGGAGCCACGCGGGTTCGACGCCAACCGCCCCGTGCGCACAGCAGCGCAGGCCAGGACTGAGACTGGGGACCATCACACCCTCCCCTCCTCTCCAGGAGAATAAAGCTGCATCTGTGTTTCTCCATTGAGGGATGGAGGGTCCGAAAATTAAAAACAGAAAAACCCGACAGTCGTTTAAGTAGATGGTGAAGGGGCTCCCAACCTCGGCTCCTGATTCCCTCCCGGAGGGGTGGGCAAGGAAGGACAGAAGAGCGGGGAGGGAACGGGAAGGTAAATAAGGGGCGGGGGGGGGGGGCGCGTAGAGGAAGGAAAAAGAAGAAAAGGTGAGGCGCCTAAGAACATTTAAGAGAAGGGGTGGGTGGGTGGGGGCAGGCGGTGGTCCCAGGCTCCCGGATTCTCCGGCGTTGCGATTCCAGGTGTGAACGCCTGGCCTGTGGTCCCCTGCTCCGCGCTTCCGGGGCCCGCAAATCACCGCCTCCCGCCTGCTGTCAGGTCCCGGGGCGCTCAGGACCCGGGAGGGAGGGGGTGTGTGTGGGAGGGGGACTAGCTTGGCCTGTTGCTTGAAACGACCCCGATCGGGGTCGTTTTCCTGCAGCGGGCATATTCCTGGGGCGGCAGATGCGGTAGGCGTGGGTCAGGACCACCGCGCCTGCAGTCTGTTCACCCACCTCGCATCTTACTCCCCTCCCTGCGGGGGACTGGGGGGGGGACCTAAAATGACCCGAACCCTCCCCACTTCCTGCCCGATTCCGCTCCGAGACATGCTTCTCTGGATCGTAAATAGCCCTGGAGATGCTTTTACTTTATAAAAGTGAATTTTCCCCAAAATAAATAAAGATTGTGGGCAGGGGGGCACGGCCCGCCAGGAGGGGAAGGAACCGGCCCATCTCGCTGGACCGTTCAGTCCACTAACCCCGCCAGCTCCCCGCCCTCCCCTCCTCCCCCCCTCCGCCGCAGGCACCCCGGGGAGGGGGCCTCTGGGCGGCGGGCTCGCGCCTCTGCTCCGGGAGCCACCACGCGGCTTTTTCGCGGAATTTTGACGTCACCCACACGTGGGGGAAGGGGCTGGGAGAGCGAGAGGAAGCGGCGGGGGCGGGGGCCCTGGCGGGGAGCGGCGGCGCGGTGCCCCAGGCGCCTCGCGGTGGGCGCTGCGGGCGCCCGGGTGGTGGGCGCTGCGAGCTGTGCAGTAGCCGGCGGGCAGTGCAGTTGGTCCCTGGCTGGCCAGCCGGGTGCCCACGGCTCACTCCCCAGGCGTTGCCATCCTTCCCCCAGGTCCTCCCCCTTCGCCCTCCTCCAGCTCCTCACTCCCAAGGAGTATCTTTATTTACTTTTTCTTTTTCCCCCTTGCAATCCGGACGGCACTTTGCTC